TTTCACAATGTTTTTCAATATTATTAATTCTTACTTTGGGTAAGTACGCCTCTACCCCAATATAACGCGACCCGATATAACACGAATTCGAATATAATGTGGTAAAGCAGTGCTCCGGGGAGGGGCAGGGGCTGTGCATTCCGGTGGATCAAAGCAAGTTCGATATAATGCGGTTTCACCTATAACGCAGTAAGATTTTTTGGCTCCCAAGGACAGCGTTATATCGAGGTAGAGGTGTATTTAATTATATTTCACCAATTCCTTTCTGCAGATTTTTTCCAATACCTGTTTGCTCAAATATACAATTCTCACCACCACCTTCAAATTTTCAACAGAACCGATATGGCTGATTTAACATAACAAAAGTTTTTGAGCACCTTGCCTCAACCATGATCACCAGCCCAGCTCTGAGAAAAACGTACGAGTTACCTACAAAAGATATCAAGATGCTGCTTTTTTATTGAAATACTTTATTTGCTTACTGTTGGAATTAATGATGGATATTTTTAATACAAACAACTTTACTCAAAACAAACAAACAAATTGTCTTACAGAATCGGTGAACAGCATCAGACAGACTGAAATCTTATACCCATTACCCATGAAAAGAGTACTGGCCTGGACCAGATTCTTCAGAGGAAAATTTAGCACCCCAATACCAACCATGACAGTCAAAATTCTTCCTAATAGCAAATAGGTAGCTGTTGGGTTACGTTCATCCCATTCTTTAGCCTTATAAACAATATAAAGAGCTAGTCTTTTAACAGCATTAACGTAGGTTACAAAGGTAACAAGCACTTGCTACAACCTTAACATATCCTGTATATTTTGTTTCTCTCATTAGGCAAAGCTCAGTGCCCAGCACACAGGACACTGCACAGGACAAAAGGGAAGAGAAAATCTGGCAAAAGGGACTAATGTCAAGGGATTGTTGTGGTGTTGGAGGCACATTCCTTCCTCTTCACAAGAATCACAGCACTTAGGTCATCAAACCGTGGGGCTAGAAGGGGCTTTGAGAGGTCAGATAATGCAGCCCCTATGTTGAGGCAGGACCAAGTAAACCTAGCCCATCCTGACAAGTGTTTGTCCAACCTGTTCCCCGATGATGGGGATTCCAGAACCTCCCTTGGAAGCCTGCTCCAGACCTTAAATCAGAGGTGCGCAAACTACGGCCCGCGGGACCATCCTGCCCGCCCCCCGAGCTCCTGGCCCAGGAGGCTAGGCCCCAGCCCCTCCCCTGCTGTCCCCCCTCCTCTGCAGCCTCAGCTAGCTCGCTCACTCCGCAGCCGGTGCAATGCTCTGGGTGGCGGGACTGTGAGCTGCTGGGGCAGCGCATCCGCAGAGCCTGGCCTGACCCGGTGCTCTGTGCTGTGTGGTGGTGGCGTGGTGCGACTCCAGCTGGCCAGTGCGGCTGTAGCACCTGGAGCCACTAGTGCTCAAGGCAGTGCAGTAAGGGGGCAGGGAGCGGGGGGCTGGGGGTGGCGGGGGCTGGATAAAGGGCAGGGAAGTTTGGGATGGTGGTTGGGGTCGAGGCAGGGAACATGAGGTTGAATGGGGGGGGCAGTCAGGAAGGAGGAAGGGTTGGATGGGGTGGCAGGGAGCAGTCGGGGCAGAGGTTCCAGGGGCAGTTGGATGGGGCAAGGGTCCCGGGAGGGCCATCAGGAATGAGAGGAGGGGTTAGATTGGGTGGCAGTGGCTCAGGGGCGGTCAGGGGACGGGGGTGTGTGGATGGGGCAGGAGTTCCAGGATGGGGTGAGGGGGGCAGATAGGAGATGGTGGCCGGGCCATGACCCCTTCCTCTAACCGGCCCTCCATATAATTTACAAAACCTGATGCGGCCCTCAGTCCAAAAAATTTGCCCCTCCCTACCTTAAATACTCTTACCGTGAGAAAGCTTTCCCCTAATATTTAACATAAATCTCCCTTGCTCCTGATTGAGCCCGTTACTTCTTGTCCCACTTTCAGCCGACATGGAGAACTGACCCCATCCTAACATACCTGAAGACTATGGGCCCCCTCGCCTCCCACTGAGACGTCTCTTCCCAAGCCTGGGCAACCTGTCCCGAGACCACATCTGTAAAGCTCTTCTCATTCCCCTTGCTCTCCCCTGGACTCCGGCTTGGCCACAAGCCCAGGGCCCCGCCCGGACCCGGGACAGGGCTGCTCGCGCCCAGGGGACGAGACTCGGCACCGCAGGCCCCCACCGCCCGCGGAGGACTCAGCAGCTGGCGGCGGGGCTCTGCCAAGCCCCATCTCACAGACCCGCCCCTTCGCCGCTTCCTGCCCGGCGGCGGGACGCACCTGCTGGGGGTGAATCCCTCCCAGGGCGGCGGCTCCCGGCCTCTCCCGCTCTAACCGTCCGCAACAGCTGCAAGACCTCACACTCTAACCCGGAAACAGAGGAAGTGAACCGGAACCGGAAGCTTGAGAAAGCCGCGGGTCACACGGCCCTAGCAGCCCTTTCCGGAGGCCGCGGCTTGCTGGGGATGGGTCACGGGGCTGTCGCCTTGCGGCGCAGGGAGGGTCCTAGCAGGCGGGGTGGAGCTCGGCCTAAGCCCCAGCGCAGAGGGACGTGCGTGATCCCGAGCCCGGCCCAGGGGTTACCGAGCGAAGGGTCAGCCTGAGTCTGCGGGCAGGGCCGGTTCCTTTCCCAGGGGACCCGCGGGCAGGGGGAAGAGACACAACCGGCCGGGCTGCGCCGCCTGTGACATCCAGCGCCCCCGTTATCTCGTGCCCGCCCCTGCAGGGCGGTGGGGGCGCAGCGCTCCTTCTGGGGGGCCTGCTGGACTAGTGGGAGGGGGCGGGCCGGGGCCCAGCCCAGGGAAGGAGGGAGCGGGGGAAGTAGAACCCGGTTGAAGTTCGCAGGCAAAGAACTGACTGTGCGGCGGCGAACTGTAAATGCTGGTACCGGGCTTTTGCCCTCCTTCTGCCAGCTGCCCGCTTTCCAACTTGAACAGGGTA